ATCCACAGTGAAGTAGAAGCGATGAACTGATGAGGTTAATCAGTGCTCTGCTTTCTAAAGCTGCCCATACAACTTGCGATCATTGGATGACACTTTTCGTCCGACGATCGAACCGCCGTTCGATTTTCTTACGACGGCCCCATCCTGCCCCGATTATCGCAAGGTTGGATCAGCGGTAATTAGAAGAAAGCACCTGGACGAATTGCGGTAATCGACCGTACGCATTTTCGTATGCGCATGTGCTGTTTAAATCGTACGAATTTTGACATACGAAAACGCCACCAACCTTGCGAAAATCGTACGATCGACCAAAGTTTTCTAGCCTGCTGGTTAGTCAAAAGTCGATCGATTGGACAGTATTTGCGGTTGTACACTGCCCATCAACCTTACGAATATCGGACGAAAACGCGATCGCATACGAAAATATTCGGAAGGTGTATGGGCACCTTAAAGCTGCCAGCATGTTCCTTGTCAGCACATGTGCATTTAAGACACCTGATGGGCCCTGCGCACTGGCCCTCCCTCTACCAGTCTGAGTGCTGCTGGGAAAGCTGAAATCAAGTCAAATGAAGGAATTTACACCAGCTGCAATTAAAATGATTATTTTTAACATAATTGAATTCTTTGTTTTCATTGCCGAGAGTTCAGCTTTTACTAACAGTCAGCTTCTGGATCAATGCTACTGTATAAGCAGGGTAGGGGATCCTAAGGCAATGCCAAAGGAAGTGTCCAAGTTCTTCCAATCACTTTTGGCTAGGCTGCCATCGCCTTAAAGGTCTAAAGGTGCCCACACACCTTACGATAATCGTACGATAAACGCGGGAAATCCCGCGATTGTACGATTATCGTAATGTGTGTGGGAGCTGTGCGACCTCTGCTACTGTAAGGTCGCACGACTTTTAACTTAGGAACATGTTCGAAAACCAGCCGAACATCGTACGATGTTCGGCTGGTTTGTGGCATGTTCGCAAGATAAAAGCCACACGGGCCGGTGTGTGCAAGCGCACACTGCCCGTTCAGCATTGCGGTCATCGGAAGCCAGCCCCTCAGCGGGGCGGGCTTGCGATAATCGCAAGTACGATCTGCCTGTCCAAGATAGGCAGATGGTACGTTTTTTTAATTACCTTACAACCATCACAAGACAAAAGTCTTGCGATGATTGTAAGGTGTGTGCCCAGCATTAGGGAGGGCTCAGTGGCACAAACTGTATACATCACCACTATGGCTGTAGAGGTCAGAGAAAATAGGGGCTGTAAAACCACTAAAATGGCACAAGCTAAAGACTGGCAGGAAGGTTCACCTGTCAACCAGTGGAAGTGGAAACACCAAAAGATTTTCAGTGTCAGGATCTGTAGAACACAAATATGGCAATATGACCAGTAGGTGAGGTCTGGCGACAAATCAGGTAAGTTTGTCAGACACATTTCAATCATCTTACGAATAATGATTTTTATGTCACGTACTTCTCCACCTCAGTCCTGCGTTTGCTGTAGTACATCATGTTTTGTTAGTAATACTATTTGCCATTTATTTTGCAATTATTATGCCTGGCTAGCTGTTTTTAAAAGGTACATACACAATGTATACCTCGTAGTTTTTATAAATACAATGAGGGGAATTTATCAAAACTGGAGCAGAGAAAATCTGGAGCAGTTGCCCATGGCAACCAACTTATTTATTCTCTCTAAATCTCTCATTTATTTTCAAATCATAAGTGAACAAAATGAAGAGAAAAGCTGATTGGTTGCTATGGGCAACTGCTCCAGATTCTCTCTGCTCCAGTTTTGATTAATTCCCCATAGTAAGTTTTTGTTTAAACTATAAGTTAAAGGCGCAATCCACTTTACAAAAATAAATAAATGCATGCATATTCATACAAGAAAAATGTGCATTTATTATATTATTGCATTGGAGCAGTAACGCACTGCAACTGCAATCAGCAGATCACGGGTGTAATGCTCTGGCTCCTGTAAAGTCTCTCTTCTGTTCCTGCCCACAGGGATGGGAGGAAGAATGATTCGAATCTGCGCTACATTCAATTACATACGCAGACCTCCATAATGGACTGAGATTTGTGCACACTTCTAGTAAAAAGGATCCTGTATTCCATACACACTCATAAAGTTTTATTGGGGCTCCTAAGTGGATTCTAATATTTTAAGAATTTATGACGGATGGAATTTCCTATTATTTGTATTTATTGGGATCAGTGAATCTCACTACAAACTCCGTCCAGCTAATGTGTGCTTGTGACCAGTGAATAGAACAGCTCACACCTAGCATATAAGTTACATCATACAATGCACATTTCCTCATACAGGGATCACTAGTACAATGCTGTAATAGAGAAGTAAACACTGTAACAGATTCTTATGTGGAACGAAAGGCTGAGGTTAATCTTATATGGGATGCAGGATGTTACATCACTCCTTCAGAATATGCTAAAATCGTATTTACTGGAAACACAAGGGAGATGAATACTTTCCTTACCCTCAAAGTCTGTGGCATATTATATACTCCAAATTATACTACCAAAAATAATGTCGCCTTTTACCATTCTTATTGGAGCTAAGCTGATATTGTATGATAGCCTCTAATACTTATATACAGTATATATGCTGCAAACACACTAAGGGACTGAATCTACCACCCAGTGTATAGCTGGGCAAATGCCATTCACGCACACTACTGCCACTAGATGGCACTGAGCAGCATAGGAATTTCCTGTGCCCCTCATCTCCATCTGGTGGTGGTAGTGCTGTGCAGATAGCATTGCCACCACTATAAATAAGCCCATAGATGGCCACTAGATGGCGCTGAGCAGTATAGGAATTTCCTGTGCTCCTCAGCTCCATCTGGGGGTGGTAGTGCTGTGCAAATGACATGGCTCAGCTATAAATCAGCCCATAGTAGATATTCCATTGATCTAGACACAGCATTTTAATATTTTCATAAACATACAATATACTTAACAATCCCATTTAACAGTAATGGAACAACCATTTCAGAAGAAACACATACTATTATGTATGGCATTTCGGCACTTCCTCAAGGTTTTAAAACTTTTTTTTTTGCTGTGTTACCAGGTTTAATATTTATTTTACCTTCAATGAAACGTTATGATTTATTATGACTCTGATAGACAAAAGTCTTCATGTTAACTCTTTATCTGTATAAACCTGTATATAATAAAAGATTGCAGATATCAACGGGTCACACACAGCTTTGAAAACATAATGGAGGTTCTAACCTTTCCCTAACTAACTAACTTAGAGGAAAGTTAGTGAGGTTCTAACTAACAAGAGGAAATTTATTACAGCCTGTATATCTGTTATAGATGCTGGGGAATCTCCCCAATGGGGTCAGAAAGCAATACAAAGCTAATGCAAGTTCTGACCCCTCCCCAACGCGATCCAAAACGTAAAAAAGATTTTAATACCAATTAACGGGGAAATATCCAACACATGTTACATCTCCCCGGCCAAATTATAGAGTATGTACAACTTACATATTAAAACACTATTCTGTGATCATGTCTCTCTGTCATCTCTGGAACCCCTAAATATCTGAAATGTATGAAAATATACTGGGGGGGGGGGGGGGGGTTTTAAGAAAACTGGAGCAGACAGACTCTGGAGCAGTTGCTCATAGTAACCAATCAGGCTCTCTTTTCAGTCTGTTCAGTTAATCTTTGAAAATTAAAGTTAGAAGCTGATTGGTTACTATGAGCAGCTGCTCTAGATTCTGTCTGCTCCAATTTTTATGAATTTCCCTCACTGTCTATAGTTGTTACTTCTAATGTAACCAATTCAATAGGTTTATTGATGTTTTCTGTAAAAGAATTAAAAAAAAATAATAATAATACTATTGAGACTAAAAAAAGTTCTTCATAGAGTTGGGCTCCATCCAAACCTGACATTGTGGTTATGAATGAACTTTGGTGGTCTGCAACACTCAGAAGTCAGAATTCGTGCTGTGCCTGTTCATCCCGGGTCAGTGACTCCGAAAATACTAACAGTGTTATTCACATAAAGGGTGAAGAGTTTGGAGAAGGCAGGAGAAGTGATCAATCTAGGAGAAGGCAGGAGAAGTGATCAAACTAGGAGAAGGCAGGAGAAGTGATCAATCTATGAGAAGGCAGGAGAAGTGATCGATCTAGGAGAAGGCAGGAGAAGTGATCAATCTAGGAGAAGTGAACGATCTAGGAGAAGGCAGGAAAAGTGATCAATCTAGGACAACATAGCTGAACTAGAAAGTGAGCTGAAATTGTTGTTCACTTCTCCTGCCTTCTACTAGATTGTTCACTTCTCCTGCCTTCTCCTACATTGTTCACTTCTCCTGCCTTCTCCTAGATTGTTCACTTCTCCTGCCTTCTCCTAGATCAAACACTTCTCCTGCCTTCTCCTAGATTGATCGCTTCTCCTGCCTTCTCCTAGATCGATCACTTCTCCTGCCTTCCCCTAGATTGTTCCCCTTCTATTGCCATCTCCAAACCGTACGTTGCATGCGTTGCTGCACCATTCATTTTATTTTGCACCACTACGTACATGTTTCAGCACACGCAGTAAAGAATGGTAATTACACCATAGCCTCTGTGCCAAACATTTTGTGGCACGTGCGATTTTTGAGACATTTTTGGTACCTTGACAAACACAACATAACACACTTTAACACACCTGCATTACTGCACTACACTGCACACATGTAAATCAGTCATGAATGATTGGACCAGTATGACATCCAGGAAAGGAGAGGTCATATGATTGTCTATATATGTCCCCTGTATGGGTTTCCCTTAATTCACCTTCTCTTCATGTACTCTCTATATCACCTTGTACCATCTCCACATCAGCCTTATATGACCTATATCAGCACTGTGGGGCCGTCCTCCATTAGCTTGGATCGTGCCCCTCTCATACCAGCACCGTCCTATTACCCCCTGCTTTTGGCACCGGCCGCTCGGCTTTGCCCCTGGCTCTACCCGGGTGTTGCTCTCCTACCCGCAGGTGCAGATCTCGCAGATACACTTGCGCTTCATGTCTGCTGGCTGCTGTTGATAGCACCGGAGTCTGTAGTCGGCTAGCTGCGGCGGTCCGAAGTGTCACACTGTGCACGGGGCTCTGGTAACTATGCAAGCAGCAGTCTCCTAGCAACGCCCCGGCGTCCTGTCAACAGCGCGCTCCGGGTGCGTGATGACGTCAAGTGCACGGCGAGTGAGGAGTACGCGAGGAGCTGAGTGACTTCCGGGTATAGGCTGCACATGTTGGATAAGCGGCGCTGTCAGTGGAGTGAGGGTGAGTGACAGAGGCTGCCTCAGGGTGTCACAGTGGTGGAGCCTTATTGACATGTGACACGCTGTGATGGTGCACGCCTCTGGCCTGGACCTGGCTAAATGTGGGACAACTTTCTTGCTATGTATTATGTGTTGTAACTATGTTGTAGCAGGGATCGGAGAAGGGATCTGTCTGGTTAAGTGCAGGGGATGGTTTGTCTCAGTAAGTGTCCCCGAGCTGTCATTCTTCTGCTTCTTCACTTCTTGGTGGTCACTGACTTGGAGAATAAGAGGTAACAGTCTGATTCTTATCTTCATTTACAGACCAAGCCTCAGGGGCTCCATACACACTACCATGTGACCATACAATCAACTTCACAATTACCAAAACTATGTGCAGCAAACTAGATTTAGCCGGAATCCCCGTGGATGCCGGGTATGCCGCTAGGGAAGTCAGAAATAGAAAAAGATTTGGCGGTCATTGTAGACCGCAAACTGAATGGTAGCTTGCAGTGCCAGGCTGCGGTAAACAAAGCTAGCAGGGTCTTGTCCTGTATTAAGAAGGGGATGTATTGCAGGGACAAGTCTATAATTGTGCCTCTATATAGATCGTTGGTTCGGCCACATCTGGAGTACGCGGTCCAGTTTTGGTCGCTGGTACTAAGAAGGGATGTCCTTGTACTGGAGAGAGTCCAGCGGAGGGCAACCTAACTAGTTAGGGAAATGGAGGACCAGAGCTATGAGACAAGGCTACTGACATGTTTAAAGTTGGTGGAGAAAAAATTCCAGCACAATGGGCGAAGGGGGTTCTTTACAGTAAGAGCGGTTAAGGTCTGGAACTCACTGCCATCGGCAGTGATTTCAGCCAAGAGTGTAGATTTGTTCAAGAAACTTTTGGACGATTTCTTGAGGGACCGTAATATCCAGGGATACCAGTATCCCTAAGAATGAGATGATGCGTGGACCTATATGGGTTGGACTTGATGGATGTATGTCTTTAATCAACCCCAAATACTATGTAACTATGTATAACGGGAAGTACCATAAATAAGCGTGTCTGTACTGTGCTGGCAGATTTGATCAGAGATGTGCACACTGTCTGTGTTAAGAAAGGTTAAATATCTATAAATGGCATGTGGAGGGTTATGTGCTCAAAATATGTAGAGGCAGTTTTGCTGAATAGCTATGCACATTTTATTCATAAATCTCATTGGCTACTTCACTGGACAAACAACAGATGCATCTAAACACACACGCGTGTAAACGTGCGTCATTTTAAGCATCTAGAAGCTTAAGCAAAGCATCTAGCCTGACAGATTTTGTAGACCGATCTCGGCATAAAAACGCAAGTGTGAATGAAGCCTTAGGCTGGGTTCACACCTAGGCGTATAAATTCGCGGTAAAAAAACAAACACGCGTTTACGAGGGCTACCATGCTGTATCCCAATGGATACGCGCAGCAAATATGCCCCAAAGAAGCTCCTGTACTTCTTTGGGCGTAGTGCATTTTGCAGCACGTTCCTATGCGCTGTAAAACGCCCAGGTAGGAACCATGCACATAGGCAATCATTGGTTTTCACATGTTGAGCGTTTTACAGAGCGTAGGAACGCGCTGTAAAACGCCCAGGTGTGAACCAGGCCTTAGTGTTATCTAAAATTAATGAGATGCAATGAAGCTAAGTGTGAATAAGGACCTGTGTGGATGGCATCGTTTTTACACCAGTCTGAGATGCTTTTGAGACTATTCACAATCCATCCACAGGTGAACTTCAAGTGGGTTTGCATTAAAGGAGAACTATGGGGTTCTATCTTTTTTTAATGAATGCATTCCCTAGGCTAAATAAGTAATTAATTTAATTTACTCTAATTCTCATTAATAAAGAAAAGATAGAACCCCATAGTTCTCCTTTTAATATAGACTTCTATGGGGATGCAAAACCTGTCTTAAGGTGCCCATACACTTTACAACCCTCGCAAGACTTTCGTAAAGTACTTAAAAAAACGTACGATCTGCCCATCTTGGACAGGCAGATCGTACTTGCGATCATCGCAAGCCCGCCCCCCTGAGGGGCGTGTTTCCAATGACTGCAATGCTGAACGGGCAGTGTGCGCGTGCCCGTTCGGCAGTCATCTCTCGATCATGTTAAAAACCAGCCGAAGATCAATAGGGGGAAGGGAAAGGCGATTTAACTATAAATATTTGGCATAATCCTTCTACAACCCCCTAGTACCTAGCGGACAATTACATAGTATTTGAGGTTGAATAAAGACATTAGTCCATCAAGTCCAACCTATTGGGATCTAATTCTAGGAGTACCTGTACCCCTGTATATTACGGTCACTTAAGAAATCGTCCAAAAGTTTCTTGAACAATTCCACATTCTTTGCTGAAATCACCGCCTGTGGCAGTGAGTTCCAGACCCTAACCGCTCTAACTGTGAAGAAACCCCTTCGCCCCTTGTGCTGGAATTTTTTTCCCACCAATTTTGGGTGGTGGCCTCTAGTTTTTGTAATGGAGTTAATCTCAAACAGTTTATCGCTAATGTTGCTGCCACCATTGAACATTTTGTACATGGAGATCATATCCCCCCTTAATTTCCTCACCTCCAATGTGAACATGTTTAAATTAAGTAGCCATGTCTCGTAGCTCTGGTCCTCCATACTCCATAGATCAGCATATAGTGTCTCCCTTATAACCGAATAATGTGCTGGGAATCTCGACATTGGGTCACCGCTCTTAAATCTTCACATGAATATGTCCATATATAAGACCAAGAAACTGTGCATAATGTCATGTTATACTGCGTGTTGTACTTCTTGATGACTGTAGTTCACCTGAGGCTTGGCAAACGAACCATGAGAAACAATAAAAAAGAAAAAGAGAACAAATGCGTGTACTGTACTGTATTCTTACTGTCACATGGTGACCCTTTTTAAACCTAAAAAAAATATTTTGGAAAAAAAAAAACCAGCCGAAAATCGTACGATTCTCGGCTGGTTTTCCAACATGCTCGAAATGCAAAAGTTGTGCGACCGTACATTAGAAACGGTTGCATGCCTTCCATACACTGCACGATTCTCGTACGATTGCGGGATTTCCCGTGATTCTCGTACGAGAATTGTGCAGTGTATGGGCACCTTTAAGCTGGCCCATACACCTTACAATTATCTGCAGATTTTCTGTGGTCAGATGGAAAAGGTGCAACAGATTCCTCCATCTACACTTAACTGTGTGGAAGGAGTAATCTCCACCTGGGCCAATCTGTTGCACTTTTTCCATCTGGCCACAGAAAATCTGCAGATAATTAGAATTGTAAGGTGTATGGGCACCTTTACACGAACAAAGCTTGTCGTCACAGGCCTTAATTATCAGCATGCATGTAATATTAACTATGCTGTTTATGTGGTGTAGTAAATCCTATGTGTTCTTGTTTTCAGATCTGGCACAATGGGACCTGTAAGCTTAGAAAAAATAATTGCACTTCAGAAGAAGGCTGATCACATTCGGAATATCTGTATATTAGCTCATGTTGATCATGGTAAGTAGTTTATTGGCTATGGCAAAAGCTAAATGATTTCCTTTCAACGGTTATGCTAGTAATTTAGATTCCTTTGTAGAAATAAGGTAAACAAAAACTATGGGGCAAACTTTTTTTGCCCATAGTTCTCCTCAGGGTCACTGGAGGACATATACTGTGTCCTCCAGTGACCCATACCTCAGTATATAGCGGGCTGTTGCCTGCTATATGCTGAGAGCGCCACAGTCAGGACGGATCCCGACAGTTCTGTCGAGATTAACCCCGCGGGCTGATTGACAGAGCCAGCTGTGCCCGCCCACTCTCCTGTCCATTCCTCCAGTCAGCGCTGGAGAAATGGAGAGAGCAGGGGGGAACCCCTGCGAGGAGCTGTGAATGTTAGGAAGAGGATGGGGAAGTCATCGATAGGCGGTGTCTGTTTGCTGACTACCTGATCAATAGAGCCGACCAGTGACAGCTTTCGATCACCACATACTTCTCCTTTCAGAATTTGAGCTATACTCAGTCCCTAGGGAAGGTCTCTGTTGGTATGGATCAGTTGGCTTTTCTTTATGAATGAAAGCATGAAGATGTTCATATACAAGGAAGATCAGAAAGGAACAATCGGACCCCTTTATGTTCATCATTCCTTTATTACTGCCTATAAGGTAGTACATGGCAAATCATTGTATATCATTAGTACAAACTATTGCTCCTGTATCATGGCCCTTGCACGGCAGTATGAGTCGCACAAATATGTGCGGTCCCGTAGAATAGCTGTTATCTGGTATAAAGGATTTATGTTGAAGAGAATCGATTGTGTGTGATTCCTTCCTGTGAATCTACTGTATAAATTAGGGGGTCATTTATGGGGCACAGTATAAACACACCCATTTTAAAGAATGTTTCATAGTATTTCACAAAAATTAGAATGACATTGCTTTGTGTTTCACAATAAATGTATTCTGTAATTCTGAAACTTGATACTTGATACTGCATTTGTTACATTTACAGTCAATGGTCTCTTTAATGTTTTTTTCCCAGGAAAAACTACATTAGCAGACTCTCTCATATCCAGCAATGGGATCATCTCTAACAGACTAGCTGGAAAGGTATGCTACGCTTTCTTATTCTGAAATGCTTACATGGAGTGTATAAGCTATGGTGAACTCAGGTTGTTGGTTATTCCCTGTTTGCTGATTTATGAATTGAATTGCAGTTACGTTATTTGGACAGTCGCGAAGATGAGCAGATACGAGGAATCACCATGAAATCCAGCGCCATCTCCCTGCAGTATAACTTCGGTAAAAAAAAGGACAATGTCAACTCTTTTCTTTCAACTTGAAATGATATATAGTGACACCAGATGACATAGAAAGTATAACTTATTACCATTTGTTTGTGTCTTAGAGTTTTGATCACAGGCCAAGGCCTGTCACCCTGTCACATTTGGCTCTTTAGCTAGTATGCAGTTTGCACTGATCAGGAGTACAGTGTAGTGCAAACCAGGACCAAGAACAACTTGGAAGACATCTGATTTCCATAACAGTTTAAATGTCTTCAGTGCTATACTCTTGTAATCAGTGGAACACAAATCTAAAACTGCGTGTAAGACCAGCCCAGTATAGGATAAGCCAATCCCTTTGTTTCCCCTGTACCATGTGATTCTTGCCAACCAACTGTTAAAGGTCTAATCCATGTGTAGAGAGATCCTTGATGCCTTTCTTTTTATTCCAGTCCAGTTCTGCAGATTGTCTCTTTACACATTACTCTTGATCAGTGTGGACTGCAGATGAGTGCATGTAAACAAAAGAATGTTTGCTTTGGTCTAGACATGTGATGACCGCTCTGAAAGCACAGGAAAAACTATATTAGTAAATATATTATCAGATTTCTAAATGACACATTTTAGAGCATAGGCTTAAAGTATATGTAAACCCTAGCTGGATAACGTTGAATTTGCTATAGTACTGTGTATCATAAACAATTGCGATCAGCACTGCTGATCTTCAGCAGCCGCTTTGCAACCACTTGCCGTCTACATTTCTCAGGGCAAGTTTCCTAAAGCTGACACCAGTGGACCATGCCTGTGCATTGGCACCTCTGCTTGTAGCCTCCTTTGGAAGAACATGTGACAGGGTGACAACACAGGTGATGATAAAAAGGACTCGCCCTATAATAGAAGATGCCTGAACAAGGACCTTCATGGCAGGAGAACCAAATACTATTTTATTGAAATCTGTAGATTAAAAAAGATGAAAAATATAAAAATAAATAATAATAAAATATAAAGTCCATCTTTTAAAAAAAAAAGATCAATGCACACATCTTTATAAAAGGAAAAGAAAATACATTTATTATTATTTATTTATTTATTTTGCATTGGAGCCAGAAAAGCATTATAAATGCTGCCTCCTGCAGATTCTCCCTCCGTCCCAAGGTACAGACATTCAGTACCAGGGATGGAATGAAGAATGACATGACAACAAGTGAGGTGACCTCACCATTGAGAACTTCAAGTCCCTCTGCCATCGTGGCTGATGGGACATGCAGTTTTTGCATTCACTGATCCTGTCAATGATATGATATGGGAGGGGTGGGGGTTGGCTGCAATGTGACCCTGTTACATCCCAAATATGGGTGTGAGATGAAGCATATTCAGAAAGGTAAACTTAGCCTTTAAAGCTTATGTGAGATTTTAGTGGTTCGGTTTACACATGCTTTAAGTTACTAAACTATTAAGATTTGCTGTTGCAAATCATATTTATTTTTAGCAACGAGAGCTGGAAGTGACCATTTAGCATAACAAGATCGTGATTTCCAGTAGACACTGCAAACTTCTAGCCTTTTTATTCAGATATGAACACTGAGTCCAGAGCTGCGAGCTGCAAGAGAACAGTGCTAATCACATAGCCGCCATGATGCCTCCACTGTTTCTGTGTGGTTGTGTCTCAGAAGATAAAGGGTGGAATTAAGGTTTGAAATTGAAAGAACCTTTTTTTGCCATAGATCTCTTCAGGGTCACAGGAGAACACATACATGTCCTCCAGTGATCCAAAATTCAGTATTTAGCGGGCTATTGCCCGCTATATCCTGAGAGCGCAAAGCCGCACAGCAGCTGGGACAGATCCTGACAATATTGTCAGGATCCACCCCGTTGGCTGATGGCTCTGCCTCTCTAGAGGCAGAGCCAGCTGTGCCCGCCCCTGTCCGTTTTTCCAGTCAGGGCTGGATGATCGGAGAGGGGAGGGGGCAATCCTTGCTGGGAGCCGGGACTGACATGCACCACTCTCTGCAAGGAGATGATCGGGAACTCAGCGATCAGCAGTATGTGTTCGCTGACTTCCCGATCAATAGAGCCGACCTGTGACAGCTTCAGTGTCGCAGGTCGGCTTGACTTATGGGGGTGAGTGTTTTTCCCTCACCCCGTAATTCTCCTTTAAGCTGACATTAGACTCATGCGGTTAACTTGGGGTTATTTCTGTAACCATTTTTATTTCTTGCTCTTAAGGTGTACCTTGCGTTGTTGTGCAAGTAAATGCTAATGCTTGGTTTGCTGTGGGTAGTATTTGTTAATGAAAGGGGTGAAGGTAGGCAGGCATTCTGTGTTTGCAATGCAAGAGTGTTCACCAGGGTTCCAATTAAACTTTTAATTTATACCCAACAGCCACAATTTATGCCTGCATTTTAATGAATGTTCTCCTTTTTATATTTTTAGGAGATGAAGAATATCTTATAAACCTCATAGATTCTCCTGGACATGTTGATTTTTCATCAGAAGTTTCCACTGCTGTGCGTCTGTGTGATGGTGCGATTATTGTGCTGGATGCAGTGGAAGGTGTGTGTCCTCAGGTAAGCACAGCACATTTGACTTCAGAATTCAGTTATTACTGACATAATTTTGTTAGATGTTTACACACACACACACACACACACACACACGATCATAGATATTCATGTGTGTTAAATGTTTTTTCTAAAATTCTGAATGTCTACAGATGATTGGACTTCTTTTTAATAAAATTATGTGAATGCTGCAGGTGAAAATAAAATGTTTCCATATCCTTTTCTAATGTACATATACATAGATATGATAGTTCAGTCCTCACTGTAAATATAGAAGTAGAGCCAAACTTTTTGTCATTCAACGGCTGCAATATGCACCCGGAAAGGATCCTGACAATATTGTCGGGATCCAATTGGCTGCTTGATTGACAGCTGACTCTGCCTCTCTAGAGCCAGCCATGCCCCCCCCCCCGTCTGTCCTTCCAATGAGCGCTGGAGGAACATAGAGAGGAGGGGGGGATTCCTGTTGTGCGGTAGAGACGGACAGTCACTGCTATCCGATCGGAGATTTACATGATCACTCAGTTCTTGGTATAGAGCCGGCGTGTGACAGCTGTAGTGGACAAAGTATATTGTACTCTTCCTGCACTTGCCTTTTTAAGTTAACTTGTAACAAACAAGTAGATGTTTAGCAGACAGCCTACAATTCCTGTGGTTCATCCAGTGATCTGCTGGAGTTCCTCAAAAATCCGGTTCAAATACTAAATTTCTAAATGTCTGTATATTCACATGGCTAGGCTCATTAGAGGCCGTAGGTCTGGTTATAAGTCACCTGGGCACCATGCAGTGCTTGGTGGGTGAGGAAGTCTGAATGTTTTCCCCATACTCAAAGGTATTTTTTTTTTAAAGGTTACAACACAGCATTGGGGAGGTAGGAAGGCACTTTAATGTAAATGGTACTGTAGGTTGGCTCGTATCCAGCTTCTGTGCTAGTTAGCTTCATTTCCGCATGGTGCAATTTTAATGTAGATGTCGTCATATGAAATCATGAAGTTATAAGTCACTTCTGGAATTGTTTGGTTATTCTTTATACTGCTCACAGTGAGTAGTAAATGCTGATGAAGTTATAATTTAGTAACACTCCAGCTTCATATAAAGTTGTAATGTATTTTCAGCTTCTGTTGTAGTTTGATTTTAGCCTCAATGTATTCAGAATTTCAAAGTTGTTTTCACAAGAATGACCTAATACATATACCAACACATTAGATGCACACCCTACTAAAGTTCATGAAGTACATGTTCCATGCTTATACAGCAGTGTCAAAGGTGCCAAGGTATTAGTTACTTTGGGTCTGAAGTCAGAAATGTTGCCTTTGTTGTACACAGTTGTACAAAAAGCTATGTTTGGTATTTGCCCAGACTAATCAGATTTTATGCTTTTAAACTGTTTACTGCAGTTGGCAATATCAGATGATTTTGATTGATTGCTTTTGGTTACTATCCTTTGTACACTGTTTTTTGCATTATAAATATAATTAAATGCATCTGTACAGGAAGAAAATGCAGGGGCAAGTACAGCCCTGTTGATTATATTGGCTTAGTTCTTATCATGCATTTTTTTTGTGCAGTTTTGCCTGTATTTCACCACACCAAAATTATACAGGTGTAACTGGGGCCTAAAATATTGTTAAACAGTTATATGCTACAAAAAGCAATTCTGTGTTTTTCTGTAGACCCAGGCAGTATTACGACAAGCCTGGCTGGAGAATATAAAGCCTGTTCTGGTAATCAATAAGATTGATAGACTGATAGTGGAACTGAAAATGTCGTCCCAAGAAGCATATGCCCATCTTCAAAAAATACTGGAGCAGGTAAGCACTACATCCACGTCAGTTCAGTGTACCACCTGCTGACAAAATGATATCTTGAGCCATCCTCTTCTTTATTTTTTCAGGTAAATGCCGTGACAGGAGGCCTGTTCACCTCCAGGGTCCTGGAAGAAAGAGCAGAGAAAGACACAAGAGCAGAAAAAGACACACCAACAGAGATAACAGAAGGGGATCAGGTGTATGACTGGAGCGCAGGCTTAGAAAAGACGGATGACTCCCACCTCTATTTCTCTCCAGACCAGGGCAATGTGGTGTTTGCCAGTGCCATTGATGGATGGGGGTTTACGTAAGCTCCTATTTTTCTTTTGTAAATTTCAATGTTATTTTCCCTTAAAGAAGAAATCTGGGCAAAACTTTTATTAACCCTTGCAGTGGGGCTATCGTTTTTGTCTAGGTGCTAAAAAAAGTTATACTTGCCTGAACTGCAGAGCTGGCTTGTTCTTAGACCGGTCCTTCCAGCCTCTCTTCCCCCTCCTCTGCAGCAGTCTAAGGTCCCATAAATCATCACGTTCTATACACGGTGTATAAACATGAGGACACTGAGGAACATTCCAATGCTGCAGCGTGCGTAGGAGGAGACAGGCTTCGGAAACCGGAAAAGCAAAGAGCTGGCTCAGTGGTTCTGGAGAGTATAACTTTTTTTTTAGCACTTAAACAAAAATGAGCAGTGCAGTGCGGGGGTATATTTGTGGTATCACCACAAATATACAACAAAAAGAAATGAAAAAGAGTGGACCAAGAATATATTGCCATTTTTGCTCATTGACTGCAGAAAACAGTGCTATGTTGTTCTGCAGATTTGAACATGAAGAATTTCCAAACGTTAGCTATTAACTGTTTTAGGAAAATACCTACATCAGTCTCCCAAACCCTCCCATCAGGTCAGAGCTCTGGCAGTTCCTGATTGCCCCTTACTTCCTTCCGCACCTTAATAGTGGCCAGTGAGGCTTCATGTCACAATGATAGGCATATAGGAATGTGTGGGAGGCAGGACTTAGCTGTAAGCTTTCACACTACTGTCACAATTGGCTTTGGTTTAGGCTGTGACGGGTGTTTGGGAGGCTGCTACAGTACTTACCATTCACACCTGCAGAAGTTTCTTTTTTAATTTTCTAACAGGATATTTTAAATAAGGGAGGTTACAGACAACAAATTAGCGAGTGTTTGGTTTTGGGGAATCAGTTAATGTATTAGCAGCCCTTCCAGTTCAGAAACTTAGACAAAATAGTTAAAGTGTAAATGCACAAAAGTGCCTGCTTGCAGCTATCTTTGTTCAATGTTCACACTTCTCTGTGGGCTCAATAGAGATAAAGCTGTGTGGCACCAAGGAGGCAATAGAACCAAGATCTTGTTGAAATGGGGACTGGCGGGGGGTTGCTGGGAACATGTGCAGTACAGTTACACTCTAATATATTCTATTTAGAAGTCAAGACTGCACTGCCATCAGGAACCATAGGAAAATCGTTGTTTAGGTTTGACTTGCAGAATTATATGGAAGTTATGTAATTTTAGTGTCTCAAAATTATGCATTTATTGCACAAGTAACTACAAAAAGAATGGGGGACATTTAGCAAGCATCATTGGTCACAAATCAGGCTGCCTCTCATTCAGCAAAGTCTCTGCAACAGGTTTATAGATCTGTGTGTCTGAATTCCTGGGTAACCAAGTACCACAGCTTGCTAATTTCTGAAACAGATTTATTGCTGATGATGAGACAGATTTCACTCTTAACTGTTGTGTAATCTAGAAATGGTCAGGGTCAGGTTTTATTCTGTTGCAATGCTAGTTGAGAGCAGCCGATTAAGGAATTCATGACTCGAGCTGTAACCTTCTGTCTGTCTCACTGCTTTTGTTTAGCTGTGGTTTGTAATGCAACAAAAGTAATAAATGCCCCCCAATGTCTTTTGTTACTTCTTGGAAATGAAGTACAGATTTGTCTGTCAAAATACTAAGTAGGCATCTCTGATTTGTCAGGTGGTCACCTTTAAATGTCTGCAATCGGCAGTAAAGAGCTGATGCTGACAGCTGCTTGACCCTATCTGTAAAGGTGGCCATACACATTACAACCATCGCAAGACCATAGTCTTGCGATGGTTGTAAAGTAATTTAAAAAACGTACAATCTGCTTATCTTGGACTGATCATCGCAAGCCCGCCCCCCTGAGGGGCGGGCTTCCGATGACGCATGCTGAACGGGCAGTGTGCGTTTTTCAGCGCTGATCGAAGTGCTGAAAAACACTCAAGCAGAGAAATCCCATAATTTCCTATGGGCATGGTTTCCACCTGGGCGTATTTCAGTGCGTTTTGGTGCGCTGAAAAACACCCTATGCCCAAACTAGTACAGGAGCTTCTTTTAGGGCATATTTCCGCGCGTATCTATTAGGATACTGCCGGATATCTTTCGTAAACGCGCGTTTGACGCACGTTTCGTGGTTCGCAAATCACGGTAAAAACGTGCGCCCCGAAACGCGTATCAAACTCGCATATTACGAACGCCCATGTGTGAACCCAGCCTAAGTGTTCTTGCAACATATTAATGTTTGTTACTCACTGCATATGCCTTGTAACATTTTGCATAATTGCGCAGTTATTACATTTAGCATTTGCGACATGAAAAGACCTCCAAACTGTTGCATATTCTTCCTGAGCACATCTTAAAGTAGCACAAAGATAATTCGTCTTCATACCCTCAAGTCAGCTAAGCACTTCAGGGATATTTAGCTGTCCTCCAGGTGGTTCCGGCTAATTTGCAACAATTTAGAGACAATTCTCTTTAGGCATTTAGGAATGAAGAGAGAGAGATTTTTACAACCAATCGATTAGTTGTAAAAATAATCGGGCAACTAATCGATTATAAAAATAATAGTTCGCTGCAGCCCTAATGTGCACTAGAAATCAGGGATGTGACAGTTTAAAAGATTCTGATGATCCGGCCAAGTTGAAAAATGTCCCCTGTTGATAGTGTATGGGTATTCTTATGCGTTCCCATTATTGTCCATGCCCTCTATTACCACTTTACCAGTAATGGAACACTGCACAAGTGCACAACAAATTCGCCAACACTAGATAAGTCTGTTTCCTGAATCCTCAACAAACCAAATATCTCATTATGCATTTTCAAATGTTTGACTCTCCTCCTGGGGTAAGCTTGAGCTTCTAATGGCATTTATTTAATTTATTGCCTCTGATCATTTAAGAGTTTAAACTACATTTCTTAATTACTGTAAATGTTTTTGAGGTCACAAATCTAATCTCTTCCTTTTTATTGAAATGTTTAATATCGGTCACTAGATGGAGCTATGGTAATGTGTTCTCTCTTGTCAGAGTTCATTTTAGGTGATTATTTTTGTAATGCTGATTCAGTATACTTTCAGATTTTGAGTAACACATCCGTGTCATTGGGTTTATAGAAGGTGTACATCTTTTTAATTATGTTCTGTTCACACAATTCATATATATTTCTTTTTAATGAAAAATGTATGCAGTATATGTTGTCAAAATTGGAATTGGAGGCTTTGCTAATAATAGAAATGTTAGGATTAATTCTCAGATATGCCATTTTATTTAAAAGGTACTCTGTTTTGATCTCTTAATATAAAGTATTACTTAACCCTGTTCGCATTCTGTTTCTGCAGCAGGAATTAGACTCCTAGACCAAATTACTTGTTTTCTTCATTTGCTCTGGGAGCAGTACTGTATCTGCACCTCCCCTCACTATTCCATGGGAGCAGAATGTATTTGTTCTTGCTCATGGTCATTCCTTCTAATTTATAACATTCGTGGGTTAAGGGGTGGCCACGTGCAGGTAATTACATTTCCCCCCTTGTATATGATTCTTAGAGGGCACGGGAACCCTATAAACAGTAACATTGAAACAACCTTGTCATTTTCTAAATTAGTGTTTGGCTACTTGGTAGATTTTCATAGACCTTCATTCAGTCATGGCTTATATGTGAATATTAAAACTGCTGTACACAAGCATTGTAGTGTGCGGATGATGCACATCATGTTTCAGATATCTGACACTGATTGGCTGCATATTAAAGTATTTCCTCTACATTTGAATACAGAATACCTGACAAACAGTTCATCCACCCAGGGGTGTTGCTTGAATTGTAAAAGCCTGTAAACCTCCCTGAGCACACCAAATAACCTAAATCGGCGCCATGTTCCATGGCGGAAAAACAGGCGTAGCTTAGGAGCATCGTTACATAGAGCCTTAGTCTTCTCACACTAGCCACTGCACATACTGCCCATGTACCACAAAATATGCCTTAATAACGGGGCCACAAGCAAGATTCTCACAGACATATATATAAGCAACAAATGGCCTAAAATGTGGAATATAACATGGGTGCAAAAATTGAAAAAAGGGCCTCAGTCATGAAGGGGTTAAAACAAAATGTCTTCCATTACATGCAACACTCTGGGCTAGGTTCACATATCGGCACGATTGCACACAGCAATTGCCACGTGGCCCATTTATTTCAATGGGGTTATATTTGCGTGGCAATTGCTGAAAAAAGGTACTTAGACCTCTTTTTACGACACGCACTGCACATTTGTTTTCAACCACGATCATGCGCGATCTGCCTGGCGCGACTGGGGCGCCATTAAAAAATAATGGTAACGCCACCGCAATTGGCCTATTGTGAACCTAGCCTCAAACAAATACCGTGGTGCACTGCATACAGGGTGCAGTGGTCTGGAGTATGTAACATACAGCACATCATACAGTATGTAGCAATCAGATTTATGTAATGCACTGCCTCTTCCTTTTGTGGACAGAGGCCCCTTACGTTGGTGGACATGGTGGGGATGGGGGCTAGAAGAATATTTCCATTGGTAGTCAGCGAGAAGAAAAATTTTCCTTTACATTGGTGGTCAGCGGAAGGAAAAATTCCCCATACATTGGGGATGTGTGTGTGTGTGTGTGTGTGTGTGTGTGTGTGTGTGTGGGGGGGGGGGGGGGGGGGAGAGGACACTAATAAT